CCAGCTGATGATCTTACTACTACATTCTGCCTTAGTTTCAAGGTTTTTTTGTCATCCATATAAAAAGCATTGCAATAGTCTACCAGGGAGGTTACCAGAAAACTATTCTATCCCAGTTTCCCATCCAGAGAAGCTCCTATGTCAGCTCCTAAACCAATTTTTGTGGTTTAGTGGCCTGGTGGTAGGGAGAGAGGGGAACGAGGCCATGTGAGTGGCAGGCTGGTGTGCATGTGCAGCTGGTGCGGCCCAGTTGTAAATAGGCCACAGCCTGGTAATTGGCCATAACCCAGGGGTTGGGGAACCTGTCCTAGGTGATGGATAGTTGGGCATTGAGCAATAGAGGCATTCAGGCACCATGTTTGCTCTTTCAAGGATGTGAAACTCTATCCATAGTTTTGTTTTGTTTTTTTAAACAATATTTTTCTCTAAGCCAGCTTACTATCAATGCTTTGGAGATAGTTTTACATTCATTTTATATTTTTCAACTGTTCTTATTCATTTTCACGAAGTACAGAGATGTCCCTTCCATTCTCTGTTGTTTTCCTGAGATAGGAGTTGGCCAAGGTGGCTTCTGTATCTTTCATGGGACAATTATTCCCTCCGTGGCCTGAAAATCTTGCAGGCCTATATTCAATCACAAGGGAAGACATCAGAAAGATAGAACTCCTTCTATCAAGGCTTTCTCAGCTCAGACAGGAAGCTTACAGAGTAAAGGAAAGTTGGGTAACTAAAAAACAAGTCAGTTAATGAATCTCTCCAGGATCTATTGACAATTAATTAATTATATTATTATAATTAACAACTACTTAATTAAATGGTATCAACATTGACAACAGTAAGGAATAGGTTCCAAATTACTATAACACCCCACCCCCCTACAGAAACATCCTGAGAAGGAGATTAAAAAAAATTGCAGAGAAATAACATTTCTAGGAATTTTCCCAGATTAAATAATTGTATATGGCTTATGGAGAACTATATTAAAAATAGGCATTATTTATTTTTAGTGTGTGTGTGGGGGGGGAGATGGGATTAACCATCACTTGGTGATGTTCATATGTTTTTGGGATCTCAATCTGCTGAGAGAAGAACATGAGTGAGGAAGAACTTGCAAGAGCTTCCAGTAGCCGTAGTTGTATGAGCATTATAGATACTAACATTAGATTCAGTTCTCCAGGTGCTGTACCCCCCACCCCCCAAAAAAATAAAGGAAAAATGGCAATAGCGATTAGACATATATACCGCTTCACAGTGCTTTACAGCCCTCTCTCTAAGTAGTTTACAGAATCAGAGCATTGGCCCCAACAATATGGGTTCTTATTTTACTAACCTCAGAAGGATGGAAGGCTGAGTCAACCTTGAGCCGGTAAGACTCAAACTGTCATACTGCTGGCAGCTGGCAATCAGAGAAGTAGCCTGCAGTATTGCATTCTAACCAGTGCGCCTGAAATTATTTTCAAAAAACCCCAGTAGTTGTGAAAGTTCACTCTTCTTATTTCAAAAGGTTCAGAATGGCTGTATTTATCTGAAATCTAGCTGGTCAAGATTGGTCTCATGGCTGTGGGCAGAGTTAGCCTGAAATATTGCATCCTAACCACTGCACCACCATAGTTCTTGGAAGGATAGAAAGAAGGAAAATAAAATTCTCTAAAGAAATGGGGTCTTTTCAGAAAAAGTAAATATTGCAATGGATTTGTTCGTTAAGCATTGAATGCTAAACGGAAGGAGTTGTAGGGGAAAATGTGATGGGGGGGATATAAGGTCCAAGAAAAGAATACAGATGTGGAGTGAAATCTTCAAGAGGAACCCTTTATACTGCAACATTTTTTGTTAGTTATTTACATGAAAGATTTTAATCTGAACGTCATGCCATCATATGGAACTCTCCACCCCATGAAATTATAACTGCTTGTTAAATAACAAAACAATCTTCTTTTGAAGCAAACATGAAAACATTAAGTGCCACACTGGAACACTATTTCACCCTTCTGCACACACCCTTCATGCTGTTATGGTTAACTTTAATAAACAGCGATAAATGATCCTGTTTATAGTACATTTTTCAATTTATTTATGTTCTTAAGAATGTGGGAGGGAAGTGACATTTTTAAATAAATTGTAACATCGCCGTTATTACTTGTATCACACAGTCATTTGCTCACTTACATTGATACTCTATAGTACTGCATTCTCATTTTAATATATTGAGCAGAATGTTTTGAGATCAATAATTCAACTTTATTTAGTGGCTTTCAAGGATATCAGAGAAATGAACATTGAGGAAAACCTCCTTCCCATATTTATTTTATGAGTCCTAATGCTTAGTGGCTGATCTGCAAATTACAGATCAGATTATTAGACACACAAGGAATTTGTCTCCGCTGCAAAAGCTCTTGGTTTGGCATGTACTGCCTTTGTGTATGCTTGTGAATTGAACATAGAAAAGATAAGATAGAAAGAGTATTAATACTTTTGAAATTTGGTGTTGAAAATGAATCCTGAGATTAACATGAACATTGAAGAAAACAAACCAGTGAATCATTAAACAAGTCAACCCAGAGTTCTCACTCAAGGCACAGATGACCAGTCTCAAATTATCCTACTTCGGACACATTATGTGAAGTCCCAGCTCTCTGGAGAAGGCTGTAATGCTGGGAAAAGTAGAAGGAAAGAGAATAAGAGGATGACCAGCAGCAAGTTGAATGGACTCAGTTACAGTAGCGATGGGTGCACTGTTGGAAGACGAGAAAGACTAGGTTAGGGATAAATCAACACGAAGAAAAACTCTCTATGTGGTTGCTAAAAGTTGAAAATGACTTGATAGCACTTAATCAAACCAAGTGAGGGTGTGTGTAAAGCCCATTGTGTTAAATCATGCTATGGTTTAATTGTTTTGACATTGCATCAACCTAGCAATTCTGGCCATGGTGAATTTGAAACATGTACAGGTCTTCATAAAATCTAATTCACTTCTGCATCTTTTATTTTTATGGTTGGTCACACAGTCAGTTGTTTAGACTGGATTGCCATTTGTCCATCTATCGAGCCTTTCTCAAGGACCTGGCATAAGCAGTTGTTGTTGTTTAACAGTATTAAAGGCACTGTCACAAGATGTAAGATATTCAAGTAAAGCTGCCTTTTGCAATTGACTGGTGGATGGTATTCAAATTCCTTCTTTGGTTTCTTTCATCACAGTCATTCTACTTGAAGGGCAGGAAATTCATATATTGGCTGATATCCACATAATGTACTTATAATTTAAAAGACTTTAAAAGAAATTACAACTCTCTTCAAGATGCAGGTAACACCAAAAGAAACCGTGATCACAAAGAAGGTATTTATAAAAAAATATATATTTCCATAAAGTAGGAAACAATACAGGTATTTTGCTTTTTTTTTTTCCCCTTTTCTTTTTCTGAATACAATACATTGAGAATTTTTTTTTAAAAAAGAAAGCTTCCAAACAGAAATAGGGAAAAAAAGTAAAATGATTTTTATATACCATTTAATTTTATTACACAGACGCTACTTCTAAATGATAAGTTTCCATTACAAATTGAGGATGCTGACAGCTTCCATAGGTGGTTTTCTCTGAACAAGATTTTCATACAGAACTATGAATATTCTAAGGAAAAAAAGAAATAAAAGCTAAGAACATTAGCAGAAAATATATATATATATATATATACACACTGGATCCTTTTCTAGCACAGCAGAAAAACCGTATGGTATTTTGTGTGGAATTTTTAAAATTTAGAGTCATTTTTTGTTTGTTTGTTTTAATATTCACATGAACTGGTTTACTTCCACCTGTTTGTGCTTGTGTTGAACATAGTTAGAAGGCTTATGATATAAATATAAAAACATCCAAAGTTAATTTCCTCTAGGGACATTTTTTTTCACTCGCTAGCATTCATTTTTTTACTCCTCTACAGCTAACAATCCTTGCATTTTGTTTTTGAAAAAGCATGTTTCAAATAACATTCACTATATATAGAAGAAATCACTCTAAAACTTTTGTCAGTGGATGGAATACAATACTTTAGATGGTTATTTTTTTTCCTTATACACTTCCAAAACCCAACCTTAATAAATAAAAGCAGTAATGGACATCAATAAAATATTTATTTCAAGGATTAAACAAATAAATGCATTCTTTAGCAATAAAACCAGCTTCAGTTTCATATATGTGAGTCCATCTTTCACTGATTCCTTTCTTTTTTTTTTCCCTTATGAAAGTCAAAAAAGGATCAACCCGTCTAGAAAACAATCCATATTGTCAGATTTCCTCCCCACAACTGTGGATTTTGAATCCTGTCCCTGGAATGGATTAAGAACGTGTGAATATTTTAAGGCTTGACACAATATTTAAAGATGTTATTGTTCGGTCTGTGGTGGTTTTTTTTTTTTTTTTTGCAGCCAACAATTATCTTATGTACAACTCTGAGTCACTGCACAGTTGAGGCCAAGAGGTTTTTTTTTTTTTTTTTTTTAATCAATCCTGTCTTTAAGAAAAGAAAAATCAGCATTGGAAAGACGACTGATATTGCTTTAAATTTTTATGTTTTTTTTTCTTTTTCCCTTGTGAAATCTTGGTGGGTAGTAGGGAGATAAACTCTTTGTTCTTAATGGACTCTCAGAAGATAATCTTCTCTACCCCTCCCAAAAAATGTCCTACAGAAGTCCATTAGGAAGCAAAAGACCTTCTCCATTGCATTACTGGTTCCCGTTGCCAAAGATGATGAAAGCTCTAAACCCCATCTTCAGAGTGGTCATGTGAATATAGAATATCCAAAGACTTCTAGACACTCTACATACTTAACGCCACACTCCACGAGACTCGACCTCCTAACATATATATTTTTTGATTTATGCACTTTGTTTTTTTTTTTTTTTTTTGGTTCAACATTACAATGTAGTTGATTTTAAAAGATGACTGGTGCTAAAGTTGCCCCTAAACAAAAAGCCACATAAGTCATAGTGAACTGTGGTGGCCCTAGAATATTACATGAGAGTTTTAAGTCAAAGACTGGGAAAAAAAGTGAACATTTGTAATCCACTGTCAAGTTTCTTTGTCACTTTCCCCCACTGAATATAATTCCCCAAGTCTTTTAAAACGGGGTCCCCATTCACTGAGGTAGTCAAAATTTTGATCTGAGTCTGAAGTTGATGACTCTAAAGAACTTAAGGAACCAGCCACCGATCCTCTTCCCTCATAACCATATATCTGGATTGAGTCATATGGAGGAGCTGTGGGGTCATTATCAGCCTCGTGGAGTCTAACGTTGATAAATTCATCAACGTCAACCCCATTAGGGACTGGTGCCAGGCCCTGCCTGGGCATAAATTGAAGATCAGGTTTAATATCCTTACGGGGTAAAAATCCATTTATTCCGTCTGGGTTCTGCAACGTCGCGATGTCGAACGCTTCGGTGTCCTCTTCACCACCCCCTTCGTCATCGTACCGGATGATGTTTTCTCTCACGTCTTCATCATCTTTAATAATCAGAGGTTCATTCTTATGTCTCCTTAATGTTACAAAAAGCACCACAATGACTGCAAAGGAAATATCACAAAATGGTGAGCCCAGACAACAGTTTCTAATACAAAGTCTGGAATCATAATGAATGGAAGTGAGAAGAAATGAAAACATCCCAAACACCAAACTACTGACCCTCCATTTGAATCCATCTAGCAAAAATGAGCTTTTCCCACTCTAAATAATTGGTCAACTACTTCTTACTCCTCCCGCCCAACATTTGCCTTCCTCTGGATCATCCTACATTCTGGAAAAGCTGAAAATTCTTCAAGGTTGCTCTTTAATTTCTCTTCATAGGACTTAGGTTTATACTTATATACTTAGGTTGTAAGAGGCTCTTAAGTTAAGAGCCATGGTGGTGTGGTGGTTAGAATGCAGTACTGCAGGCTACTTCTGCTGACTGCCATCTGCCTGCAATTTGGTAGTTTGAATCTCACCAGGCTCAAGGTTGACTCAGTCTTCCATCCTTCTGAAGTCGGTAAAATGAGGACCCAGATTGTTGGGGGCAATAGGCTGACTCTGAAAACTGCTTAGAGAGGGCTGTAAAGCACTGTGAAGTGGTATATAAGTCTAAGTGCTATTGCTTCCTCTAATCACCCTACATCCCACATTGTAGAAAGGTTGACAATTTTTCAGGCTTTCTCTTTAGCTTGCCTTCATGGGACTTAAGTTTATACTTATACTTCTCTAAAATTTACTATAGCCCTTCAACCACAATTGCTGGAATCAATGGCCCAACCTGAAGCTATTTTCTCTCTTACATAGATAAAATGTGACACAATCCTTACAAGAAATGTTAATATAGGTATAAGAACATCCAAAGAAATAAATCCCACACACTATCTAAAGCTCCAAGAAATTGTAGTACGGGCGACATGCGTAACACGGGAACACAGCTACATACACTTTATGTCAGGATTGTATCCCACTGTGTCAAGTGTGGCCTTTGGCTATCAAGAAGTTCTGATTTAATTATTATTAGTTATAATTATTAATTATTTTAATTATTAGTTGTAATTATTTATGTGCCACTTAATTATTTATGTGGAGCTTTTGAGAGTTGAAGCTTAAAATACCTGGAGGACACTAACACTTTTTATCTGTGTTCTCTTAGCATAGATTTACTTCCATCAGGATTTAATTCCAAGTTCAGTTATTTGGAGCCAAATTATATTTCCTTCCCCTCCAGGAAAAGTGAGAAATTTAGCATACAAAATAAAATATTAAAATATTTTTAAATATCTTTAAAATATAGATGCACACTTGAGGTGTGTTTATGTGTACTATGGAACTAATATTTTACTTTCTTTAAAAATGGTTGGAGAAAGATTTATGCTTTGCTGAAATTTCTCAAAAACTTTATTCCCCTGCAAAAAAGATACCACTTGGAAACTTTTTCTTCGCTCTCTTGTTTTAAGTTTATTGGTATCAGAAAAGGTATTTTTGTAGGGTGAGTTTGTTGTTGTTACATTTCTTGTAAGGATTGTATAAACCTGAAAGCCCCCAGTTGTCCAGATCAACCAATCTGAAACAAAAAAGCACAACAACAAAACTCCCAGAAAAGAGTCTTTCTGTGGTCTTTCCTTCAGCCTGACGATTAAGTATGAAAAGTCAAGGAGAGAAGAAGGGGTATTCATACGCATCTTTGGTTATCTTAAAATTAAATAAATACAATAAAACAACAACTCTACTTGGGAGAATGTTCCCACAATTCTCTTGTCCTTTGGAAAACAAAAACAAATTTATTTCCTAAAATGAACATCTAGATTAAAATACAGGGTATTTTATTTTTATTTAGTTTGATATAATAACAAGGGCAGTTTGGAAAAGAAAATTGAAAACCAGTGAAGTCTTCTACAGATATTGACAAAATAAATCTTGGGTGTTTCTGCTTTATTTTCATTCATTACTAAGAATGCTTTTTCAATATATTTCGTTCTTATTTTTAGGCAAATTTATTTTCCAGCTTCTGTTGGTCTCTACAAGTCCTGCTTTGAAAAAGCCTATTTGAAATCTGAGAGCCAGGGAATCTATAAACTACAAGATGTGTTTTTTTTTTAAGAAAAATAATCATACACAAAAGTGAAAAAATGAAAAAGAGCCATGTTCACCTATGTACTAAATCAGCTTTCCCCAACTTGGATTCTCTCCAGATGTATGAACTTCAGTTCTCAAAGCTCTTAGCAATGGCCTCCTGCTGACTGGGGAATTCTAGAATTTTAACTCTATGGCGTTGTTATTTTAGTTCTATTTTTAAGCTTTGCACCTCCAGACTCAGCTTTTCTAAAAAAAAACTTCATTTATACTAAGATGTTTTGAAACTAGACAGAGATAAGTATTTGAGCCCGAAAGTTTGCCTGATAAATATATTTTAATGGAATGTCAACTCATTTTCAAAAATGTTTCCTTTCTTTTTATGTCACTATTTTATACTTTTTGCATCTCTCACATTGGGTTAAATTTGTATTAATGCTGTTAGGCATCTGGGTTGCCATTGACAGAAAAGTGGACATAATTGGAAGAAATTAAATGAATGAATGACTAGAATTGGCATATAAAAAACAGCAGGGGTTAGGTTAAATCAATCTATACTCATATTTCTTTCCCAGAAGTTTTCCCTGAGAAGTGCATTTGTTTATTCATGAGATTTATATCTCTCTGATCCAGATAATCAAGGCAGCATACATTTCCTTCTGTTGGTATTTTTTTCTTCTATCATAATTAGCCTTTGGTATGGTAGGGATATGAATATGATTTAGAAGAAATGCTTTGAATTTCACACAAGTCTAACCACAGAACCCCTCTGCTTTCATTAAAAGAGATGCAGATTTTCTTCAGGCTCGAGCTTGAAAAAAGTTGAGGCTACTTTAAGGGCCTCATTTCAAGGATTCAGTGAATGAGTTGAAACAACATTTTTAAAGCTCACACAGAAACCCAACCTCCCCCCCCCAAAAAAAAATGATTTAGGGAACATAAGAAAGATGTCTATCTTCTGAATCATTTTTGAAGTGGGAACACCCAAAGAGAGACCAGACCCAAGTCACCCTATGACCTTTTATGGCCTAAAATGAATTTCAATACTCGTCATCCCAGTTTAACATCCTAATCGCTGCAACATTTGTGTCTTTCCCAGCAATATATCCATACGTACCTAAAAGCAAAATGATGCAGGCCAGAATTGCTATTAAAGCACCCATGCTGAGACCGATTGGGAGAACATAAGCTTCAGCATTGCATGACTGGGCAATGCCATCATTGCTGCAGCCACAGACTTTAATGGTAAGAGTACTAGTGCTACTCATTGGAGGATTCCCACTGTCACTGATGATGATGGGTAAAAAATAGACTTCTTGTTTCTGCCGGCTGAATCCATTGCGTTTGGTCAAAATGTTGAACGTATTATCTGGAAGGGATGAGATGGACAGAAAATATTATTTTCAGCTTTCCTAAAAGTATTAGTCTTGTGGTACCTTCCTGGTTTGTTTTCTGTGCAATATTCTAAATATCTGTTATTAATGGAAGGGCCAACATGGTAGTGTTATAATATATGCTGCCTATTTTTTAAATGTTCATTTACCCAATATATGGGTTTACTTACCTTGCTTGATCTCCCTTCTCCTGGTTTTGTACTGTTGAGACATTTGCATTTGTAAGTGTTGGTTTTCCCTTTAAAATAGGATAATCAAGTTCTTGTGGTCTTTCTTTACCCTTTGTGTAATGCAACCCTGTGTTGTTGTTAGTTGCAAAGTTGTGTCCAACCCATGGACAATATTCCTCCAGGCCTTCCTGTCCTCTACCATCCCCCAGAGTTCATTTAAGCTCATGCCAACTGCTTCAGTGACTCCATCCAGCCATCTCATTCTCTGTTGTCCCCTTCTTCTTCTTTTGCCCTCAATTGTTCTCAGCATTACGCTCTTCTCCAGTGAGTCCTTCCTTCTCATTAGGTGGCCAAAGTATTTGAATACAACCCTGTACCTCTACCTTAAATTTATAGCTTCACAGTAGCAATGTGAACATTCATTCATTAGAAGTGCAGCCCTCTTTTGAACAAACTTTCCATTTGAGATATATTTTAATCAAAAAGAGAAATAATGAAACATCAGCATTAACACCTATGCCTTCTTTTCGTTCAGCAGTGCCCAACATTTGCACCTTGGCATCCTGGTGGAGGGAGGGAGGGAGAGGAGAACAGGGCTGTGTGAGTTGAACTGCTCATGTACGTGCATGAACGCCAGTCCACTGCTTGCACAAGTTGAGCTGTGCACATGTGTGTGTACCACACATTGCTTGTGTGGCCCAGTTGTGAATCAGCCACAGCCCGGTAATGGGCTGTGGGTCGGGGCTGGGAACCCTTGTTTTAATCTATGGGTAAGATGTCCCATACAGGTCCTGGAGATGAGAAAAGGCACACAAGGGAGAAAGGCAGAAATTTGACCATGGATTTAGAATATCCATTGTAATCCAATAAAGGAGAATATTTGTTGCTCAGTGCTGAAATGAAGGTTTGTTTGTTTTTTGGTGTTCTCTAAGCTTGGTTGCTTTCTTGAAGAAAATATTGTCCAAACTAAGTAATATCATCAGCGATGGGTAATGGAACATCTGCAAAAAACAGCCAAGAGTCAAAGAGCACCCAGGATCCCTCACCCATTGTATTCATTTGGATAAATGGGACAAGCAATGGCTTCAGTACAAATCATTATGTTTTCCCAAAGTGATATTATGTTTATTTTTAACAGCTTTGGGCCCAGTTGTCATCAGTAAAGCACTGGTCATTTAGCTTGTGTATTTACTGAATTTACTGAGTCCTTTCTTTCATTTAACATGTAAAATATAGCCCATGCTGCAAATGCTCAGGTGAAGTAAATGGTGCCTTTATTTAATAGCAGGTATTATGAGTATATTAAATCAAATAGCTAAGGATCCCTCAAGTAATTATTGAATTCATTTTATTCCTGAATGCATGAGATTTTTCTATTGCATTAGGGAACTCTACATTATTGGCAGGCAACAGCTTGCCCACTATTTCCCACCTATTAGCATCTCTGGGAGAGGCAGAAAACATTTCAGAAATGTAACGTTATTTGATGCATTTCACATTAGCTCTTTATTGCTTTCAGTTGCAGAATTATAAAGAGCACAATGACGGATGTTGGAATGTTCCTACTCAGAAGTCCGCACACTTCAGTTTGGCTCCCTCCCCACTCAAACACAATTTTTCATTTTCTTTTAGAAGTTAATTTGCAGGTACTATCCAATTAAGCTTTTTAGTAACTCCCCCCCCCCACCTCAATATGGACTACAGGTTTTGTCTAGACTTTTTTTAATTTCAGGAAATCCGAAGCTTTCTTCCCATTTCTCCATCAAGCCATACTTATGGATAAAGCCACATGGGTGATGTTCTATTATCTATATTATCCAGCATCAATGGTTCTTGGATCAGTGGTTATTAATGGTCACCAAGTCTACCACCGGTACAGGTAGTCTATTTACAACCATTTGTTTAGTGAATGTTCGAAGTTACAATGTCACTGAAAAAAGTGACTTATGACTGGTTTCCACCCTTATCACTATTGCAACATCCTCATGGTCACAATTTGGATGCACAACAACTGCTTCATATTTATGATAGTTGCAATGTCTGAGCTCATGTGATCACCTTTTGCGAGTTTCTAAGAAGTAAGTCAATGTGGAAGTCAGATTCATTGAACAATTATGTTACAAACTTAACAACTGCACTGATTCACTTAACAGGTGTGGCAAGAAAGGTTGTAAAATGGGGCAAAACTCACACAAAGGGCTCACTTAGCAAGAGAAATTTTGGATCATACATCAAGGACTACAACCATTCGTTTACTGACAGTTCAAAGTTACAACAGCACTGAAAAAGTAGCTTACAACTGGTCCAAACACTTACAACCATCAGAGCAACCCCATAGTCATGTGATCAAAGTTTGAGCATTTAGTAACTGGCATATATTTATGATAGTTGCAGCATCCTGGAGTTACCTGATCACCATTTGTGACCTTCTCAAACATCTTCTGCCAAGGAAAGCCAATCGGGGAAACCTCAGTTAAGTATTTAACGAATTCTGATTCACTCAACTGCTGTGATTCACGTAACAATTGTGGCAAAAGAGGCAGTAACATTGTGTACGACTCATTAATAGCTGTCTTGCTTAACAACAGAAATTCTGGTCCCAACTGTGGTCGAAAGTTGAGGACTACCTGTATAAAAAGTCTTTGGTGTGAATTTCTCTCTTGCTGTCTCTCATCCAATCTCAGAAGATTTAATATTCTTACATGATACTAATAGATTCTAGTCATTTTTTTTTTAAATAAGCACAATTATTTAATGGACACCATCTGTACAGGTATCATTTATTAATCCCAACTGGCAATTTTCAGACTGCCAACTTTTGATCTTGGTGACTTTAAAATCTTTTAGTATAAATGGAGTAGCTTGCATAAAGGGGAAAATGTAACTACAATAATAGATCTGTCTTCTTGTTTGCTTGCTTGCCTGAATTTCTACAGTTTCAAATATTTTTTTATTTCTTTTTAGTAAAAAGAAAAACAGAAGAAAAACAAATAATGGGCCAGACTTATAGCAGCTCTGAAGATTTTTTTAAAAAAATCTGGTAGATACCAAAATAGTTTGACATAAAGCAGACCCATTGAGGTCTTAAATCCATTGAGACTTCTATGGAATCTTCTTATCTGATGGTGATTTTTTTTTTCAAGTTCAATCCATCAATTTTTTATTACAATCATAGACCAGATTCACTGTCCCACTAATCTTGAATTCCGTGAGATCTCAAGACAAGCTAAACCATTAATTAAACACAGAGAAGGTTGATACACTACTAACTACTACTTACACACTACTAACTAGAGCATACAAAACATTTGCTAGACCAATACTTGAATATAGCTCATCAGTCTGGAACCCACATTACGTATCTGATATTAGCACAGTTGAGAAAGTCCAGAAATATTTCACAAGAAGAGTTCTCCACTCCTCTACTCGTTGTAGAATACCTTATGCCACCAGACTTGAAATTCTAGACCTAGAAAACCTTGAATTACGCCGTCTTCGATCTGATCTAAGTATGGTATATAAAATCATACATTGAAATGTCCTATCTGTCAATGAATACTTCAGCTTCAACCATAACAATACAAGAGCACACAATAGATACAAACTCAAGGTTAACTGCACCAAACTTGATTGCAGGAAATAATAACTTCAGCAACAGAGTGGTCAATGTCTGGAATACTCTACCTGACTCTGGGGTTTCTTCCCCAAACCCCAAAAACTTTAACCTTAGACTGTCTACTATTGACCTCACACCTTTCCTAAGAGGTCTGTGGGGGGGGGGGGGTGCATAAGCGCACCAATGTGCCTACCGTCCCTGTCCTATTGTTTCTTTTTATTTTTCTTATATGTACCCATTTCATGTACTCATAACTATGTCTATACTTATACCTGTAATCTTATAATCGCTTGACAAAATAAAATAAATAAATAATAAATAAATAAATAAAATAAATAAAGATGCAACATTCTAAAATATGGTGGGTTAAAGATGCAGTTCAGAGTATATAAAAGTTGCCTGTGGTTGGGTTTTTAAAACCCTTCTGTACCATATTTTTTGTGCAATATTCCCATGTTAATAAGCATATTATTAGAGTAGAATATTTGTAGTTTAGGATTGAACTGTAGAGTCATTGGTGTTCTCTGAGTTTGGTTGTTTTCTTACAAATGTTTTATTACCCAACTGGGTGATATCTTAGCAATTAGTGAAGGTGCTGTTTGAGATCAAGATCAGAGAGCACCAAGGACAATTTTTTTTGACCCAGTAAACAATTTTTTTTGACCCAGGAATGTTTTATTTGGTTATTTAAAATATGGATTTAGAAACAACTTTAAATTTCATTTATAAATGGAATATAAATAATGGGAGAATTAGTGAAAAATATTGAAGGCAGTGGAGACTGACAGATCGATGTATACAGGCAACCATTTCCAATATTCAGTTCTTATGGTCTAGTTCTGAATCTGTGTCCAACAGTGATTGGAAATCCTTAGCATAATTACAGCATGATTATTTTTATTTTAATCAAGGATAGTTTTATTTATTAAAACTGGACCAATGCAGGGAGGTAAGAATTCAGGGGAGTTTAATGGTCAAACTTAACAAATGTTTTCATAAATTAGATTTAAAACATTAACAAGAAGAAAGACCAAATAGAAGAGAAAGCAAAACTGACAGATTCATCTATCCTTTGATTTAACATATTGCCTTGAGGTTACAGGGTGCTATCAAGGGGTTTAGGCACTTTTTATTGAGTTTCTCCAACTTGAGACTTACAGGCCACCTATCTTCCTGACTTACTAGATAAAATCACTTTATCTGACTGACTTTCCCTTCATGGCAAACACTTTAAAAATAGCACTTGAAAGCTGAGAAAACAGCAGGTGGCTTTTTGAGTTGTAGACACCAAGGCTACTGCATGAATTAGCTTGGAAACAGGTGTGCAAGAGGATAGTGGGTGTCTCGCTCTCCACTCATCTTCCCAATTAACCTCCTCATCCGTCATTATCTTGCTTTTCATGTATTTTATTTACCTGTGCCTTCCTTAACAAAGTAAAGCACTTTCCATGCGGAAATAAGTCAGTGGTTAATACTGGCTCTATGTATTGCTATGTTCTTCAACACTTATTTAGATAAAACTCAGCAATAATAGAAGAGCCAACATATGGGGGGAAGATAAATAATTGTATCTTACTTCTCCCCCCCCCCTCCCTCTTCTTTCTCTGGTGTTCTGAAAATGGATTTTTTTTCCCCGAGGCCAAGAGTTACATCTGCCTTTGAGGGATATGGCAAGAGCCACACTTAAAAAAAAAGAAATAGATAGGGTCAGGACAAAAATTGAATTGGAGTTCATCCAAATTGAATCAAACAATAAGCTGCAGTTAATACTATTTATTTCCCATGTACCTAATGATTTCTTCTCCAGGTACATTAAAATTTATAATTTGGAAAGACAATTTGAAGGCCTTCATAGCTTAGGATTGTACAGACAGTCCTCTATTTACAACGTTTCATTTAGGAGCCATGCAAAGTTACAACGGCACTGAAAAAAAGTGTCCTAGATATTTTTTCACATGACGGTTGCAGAATCCCCATGGTCACATGATCACAAATTGGATGCTTGGCAACTTATTCATATTTAGGATGGTTGCAGTGTCCCAGGGTGATATGATCCAGGGTGATATGATCCCTTTTTGGTGATATGATCCCTTTTTGCGACCGTCTGACAACCAAAGTCAATGGGGGAAACCAGAATCACTTAACAGCCGTGCTACTAACTTAACAATGGCAGTGATTCACTTAAAACTGTGGCCATAAAGATCACTATATGAGGCAAAATTCACTTAACAAGTGTCTCACTTAGCAACAGAAATGTTGGGCTCCATTGTCGTCATAAGTCAAGGACTACCTGTACTTAGGTAGTTCAGAGAAATGGTCAAAAAAGATAGTCTGTTCACTTATGAAGGACTTCCTATATTCTCCTTTCTTCTCTCTGACTTGGTTACATCATCCTTAAATATATGTAAAAATATCTTTTCTGAAGTCTGCAATATCTCTGATTGCTTCAACTTTTCTACTTAAAATTAATTTCTTTCATTGTGATCAGGACACTTTTTGAATGGTAAGGGTTGACATTTAATCCCATCTATTTTAAAAGGAATGTAATGGATGAAGCAAAGTGGATAGAATTAAATCATATTTTTGGTGGAAGTTACAAAAATTTGTCCTTCTTCAAAACTTGTCTATTTCAGGACCCCCTTGGAAAGTCTGGTTTTCTTGCCTCAAAAAAAGTTACAGAAGACCTTCTTATCTATGATATTCAGCAATGTGAGAACTTGTCCAGAAGCTCATGTACCATCCATGATTGAGATTGGTGGCCTTTCCCCCCCACAAAAAAAAATACATTCACAAACCATTGAAATGATCTTTCATCCCTTTGTTGGGTGACCAACCATGAGATCTCTTGGTTAATGAGAAGAGTATAATATTGAAAAAGAACAAGCTGGTTTGTGTGGCATATGAAGGGAAGGAAGATTTTAAGCAGACTTGAGCCAATATTACAGTTGACTTAAAGCAGCAGGTCAACAGAAACAAACAAAAAAAAGTGCTTTCATGTCAGGCTACATTTGTAGACTGATTTAAAAGAGGAAAAGGATAAACAGCCTACATGTTAAATGTCTCTAAGCCATGCTTTTCTGAGAGCACCTGATGTTCCTTTACTTCATGAAACTTTCTTTAATAAGTAGACATCTGTAAGTTTCCCTGCTGTGCAACTTTCCAACTAGACGGCTAACTTTTCTTCTTTCCATTTTTTTTAAAATAACTGTTTAGAAATATCAAATCATTAACAACATTAAAGATTTTATTATAAGTTATCTGTGCTGGATAGGTTGCCTTTGAAAGGAAAGAAAAGAATTTTTAATTGGGAACTTTTACAGCTGGAGACTTGAGCAGCTTTGGCAAAGAACATTTCTTTATGTTTAGATAAAAGTTAGCCAGTCTCAATTGAAAATTGTGATGTTCCGAGTCCTTCTGTATACTTGGTTAGGAATTACAATATGCTATACTAAGAGGGGCATTAAATGGGATTTGAAGTAGGAGTTTTTTGGAATTCCATAGTGGTGTTTTTGTTAGTTTCGAAGTCATGTCCGTCCCATTGCAACCCATGGACAACATTCCTCCAGGCCTTCCTGTCCTCTACCATCTTCTGGAGTCCATTTAAACTCACACCTACTGCTTCAGTGACTCCATCCAGCCACCTCCTTCTCTGTCATCCCCTTCTTCTATTGCCCTCAATCTTTTCCAGCATTAGGCTCTTCTCCAGTGAGTCCTTCCTTCTCATTAGGTGGCCAAAGTCTTTGAATTTCATCTGCAGGATCTGGCCTTATAAAGAGCAGTCAGGGTTGATCTCCTCTAGGACTGACCGGTTTGATTGCCTTGCAGTGCAAGGGACTCACAGGAGTCCTCTCCAGCACCCTAGTTCAAAGGCCTCAATTCTTTGGTGCTTAGCCTTCCTTATGGTCCAACTTTCACAGCCATACATTGCAACTGGGAAAACCATAGCCTGGACTGTACACACTTTTGTTGGTAGGGTGATGTCTCTGCTTTTTAGTACGCTGTCTAGATTTGCCATAGATTTCCTCCCCAGGAGCAAGGGTCTTTTAATTTCCTCACTGCAGTTCCCATCTGCGGTGATCTTGGAGCCCAGGGAGATAAAATCTCTTACTACCCCCATTTCTTCCCCATCTATTTGCCAGGAATTCAGATGGGTGGATGTCATGATCTTAGTTTTCTTAATGTTGAGTTTCAAGCCAACTTTTACACTCTCCTTCTTCACCCACATCAAGAGGCTCTTTAGTTCCTCTTCACTTCTTCCATTAGAAATTCCATAGTACTAGCCAGCAGTTGGAATAGCTTAGATCTCCTGATTAGTTTGGGGCACCTTTAACTATGCTGTACAGTTTCCCATTTTCATCATTCCATACATTTTGTCCTGGCCACTATCATTAAAGCCAAAGGATCCTGAGGGTTACAGCCTAGTATATTTTGTAGATTTTTTTCATAGGTTGTATTCCACCTTCTTAGATCATTTGGAATTTGGAATCAATGGCAAGGCTCTAGCCTATACTATCCAGATTTAGCCACAAAGATAATATAAGGCTTCTAAATCAAGATAAAATGTCCTGGAATGGGCTGAGGCATTTCCTAAATAATGTGTAACCAGAGAATTGGCTAGGTAATGGAGGTAGCCGAATTGTTAACCAAGCTAGAAAGTATGGAAAACACTAAGACAACGTACAAACCAGTTCAAAACCCAAGAAATTAATACCAGGAGTCTAGGGTAAAGTTACTATTCTAATAACAGCATACGAATTTTGTTTTCAGCACTGACTTGCTTCCAAATCACATGCATATAATTCACAAAGAATATCATGACTCAAAAGTAATTTTAGCTCCAGGGGACATTTAAACACTTTTGAGTCTTTTTACTGGAGGTCTATCTGGCCTCACGTTTCTTTTCAAGGAATCTGGAGCAACTAACAGCAGAAGCAATGAAAAGGGGGAAAAAAAGGTTGACCAAATAGCTTAGAAAGGATCACATTTTTTAAACAGTACAATACAGCAGGTTACAGACACCAAGCACAATATAAAAGACTCTTTATGTGAGCTTGACAATAAAGACAGAATTGTCCTATTTAGCCAGAAGGCTGATTAAAATAAATTATGCTACTTGATATTATCACTTTTATTGTCAAGCTCATATAAAGAGTCTTTTTATAAGCTATTTTAAAGGGTAATGTTGTGGTAACCAAGCTGTATACATGTAGACATTTTCATTAATGTAAAATGATAAATTTTCCATAAACATCAAGAATTTACAATGTATGTTCTGGAAAAATCAAATTGATGGCCACCATAACATTTTATGTTATAAATCTTATAGAACTACAAATGCAGAAACTATTTCATAATTCCAGATTACTCATTTTGTTTTGCATCTTATAACATCATCTGATACTCCGGAAACAACTATTACTACAAAGTATCCTGAATTCAGTCAAAAAAAATCACCTTGACTTGGTTCACTGGAACAATTTGATCTGAAATGATGATGATATTGATGATTTAATAGGAAAACATTTAAAAATCTACAATTTCTACATAGAATTCTCTGTTGAGAAGCTGGATTCTGGTATTTGATCCAGATAGGCTCAAGGTTGGCTCAGCCTTTCATCTTTCTGAGGTTGGTAAAATTATGACCCAGATTGTTGGGGCCAATATGGTGACTCTGTAAACTGCTTAGAGAGGGATGTAAAATATAAGTCTAAGTGTTATTGCTATTCTGATGGAGAGTGTAATGGTTTTCTTTTTAACTTTAATTTTGATGTTGGCATAGTTTTGTGATCCACTCTGGATTGGAGTTCATAATTTCAGCAGCCACGTAAGTCTAAAAAAGATAAAATAAATTCAGCTTTCAGGGACCATTAGTCAATGTCGTAGCCAATGTCTTAGCCACCTTGAATGCCAAATCTCACTATTCCTCGCCCAGAAATATTATTGTTTTAAAAGTGTCTTTCTGGTCCTGCAATAATTTAAAGTCTATACAACACCATTCAACAATACTGGAATCATTTGTAAATGAAACAGCAGAAAATATAGTCATATTACACTTATTGTAAGTGGTAGCATATGAGAAAAATAAGCTTACCCCTTCAAATCTTAGATATCACATTTTTTAAAAGAATCCTGGATCATCTCTTGGTATAAAAATATATAATAGGCTAATGGGTTTATAATCATGTTCAAAAAACAAATAATAGCATTCACATGAAAGATGAAAACAGGTAGAGAAGAACAACAATGAGCTTTTGGCCCATCAAATGACACCACTATTCCCCATAATGAAATATGACATGGAGATAATCAAATATTTTAAATCTTTGACTCTGGATAGCCGATCCTAAACAGATAGAAAATAATGACCTGTTGAATGTTTCTTTTCTGCTCTTTCCTCTTTAACCATCCCCTTTGGAACAAAATGAACTTTACATAATTATGTGTTTAATTTGTTCCTTTCAAAATGTCTGAACTTTAGATTCATGTAGATAATTGTCTCTAAAGCATGCCAAAACTTTTCTCTGATATTTTTCATTATTTCATTATTATTTTCTGACAAGAGAATAATATCCTTATAGGATCAGTTCCAGGCTGTATTCCTAGAACTTTTGATTTTTTTTCCTCTTTTTTTCTAGGAAATTTCACAAAACTTAGGAACTCTAACCCTAATCTGTCCCTTCAGTATTCTTTTTTCTTTCTTTCTCAATTTCTCTTTTCTTTTTATATTTTATCTTATGCAGAAATTTAATAAAGTATATATATTTAGAAAAAAAACACAAAATTGTGTCTTTTGACCATGTCATGCAAGGGAATTCACTAGAGAAAGCAATGATATTTGGAAGAGTTAGTGGTAAAAGGAAACCAGGCCACCAAAGAACATGATGGCTGGAAACGATCAAAGATGACACCAGCCAAAGCATAGAAAAACTCAAAAGTAGTGCAAGATCAGAAGATGTGGAGAGAACAGGCCCATAAAATCTCTAAGAATCAGACATGATTGAATGGATAAAATCATCATCGTCGTCGTCATCATTTTTATGAAATTACATAACAGAGGTAGCATGTTAATGAATACCTAGTGTTTCTGATAATATAAGAAATAAAACATTTATTTGGTTTTGTGAGCTTTCTAGAGGCACTTGGCCAACTGATATCCTGGATGTTTAGATGAAGTAACAGAAAAACAGAACCATTCACATTATGGTTTTGTAGACTGTGTTAAAACTGCCTTTATACTAAGAGGAACCAAAAACTGACATGTTTTGTGCATACAATGTAAAGAGAAAATGACCAGAAATAATTATGCTTTGTGGCAAGTAGAAGGAGAAAACAATGAATAAAATGTATGAATAGGATTAAAGAGATTACTTGAATGTCCTTAGAAAAAACTATGGGTTACAATTAAATGCCGGTTAAGCCTCAATCCATAGGATCACTAGGAACTGGAATCAACTTGAAGACAAAAGAATAATTGGATATGAGTCAATCGGATCTTCTCTTTTACTTGTACTTGTTTGTGCTATGCTTAATAATTATGGAAAGGAGGAGGAAAATGTCTAGAACCATAGAAGTGAATTTTTCCTTCCCTGGAGAAAAGTTATTTTTGAGTTCAATACCAGAAAAGTGTGCTCGAAAGAGAAGATTATTTCTTAGTAAAGCTTGAATTTAGTATTCTTGAAACATTTACATTGATTTAATTTGTCATTCAGCTATTGAATAAAATCTGTCAAAGTCCACCCCACATAATGACCAGCTTCCTTGGCAATTTTATCTTCAGGGCTACAAGCATCCATCTCATCATAAACGCCACCAGACATGGATTAAATCATTCACCAAAGAACCTCACTGTGTAGGGGGATTTTTAACAGCTAAAAGGTGACAAGGCAGGTGACCAATTTAAATGCCTTTAGATCACACGTTCCTCCTCCCAGGTTGGATAATAGCTGTATCAAAAGAATGTTTGCCAGCTTTCCATGACTTCAAATGAAGGCTTATCTGCAGGAATATCCATTGATTTATCATCTACTGGATCCCAATGGTTAATAATAAAAAAGAAGAAGTATAGCTAGACAGGTTGAGGAGAAATTAATTCATATTCTCCCCAGCAATCCACAGTTGGAGAATACTAAATACAGCAATACTCCAGAGGTAGAACAAATGATTGGCACATAGATAGGAATGATATAAAACTGGCAAATTTAATAGTTTCTTTTCATTCTCCCTCTCTCTTTCTCACGCAGTGCACCCCTTTTCCAAGCAAAGGTTCATTTTCTAATACATCAGTTAATACATTTCTTTCTTTTTTTTAAAAAAAAGGAAAGAAGTTGCATAGTACGTGTGTGTTTTCCTGTGAATAAATACTTGCCTATGTGTTTGCAAGCACCATTCCTTAATACAGTATATGCCTTTGCTACAATTTTTTTCCTAACAGAACACAATTTATTCTTCTGTGTAATTGTTTTTTTTAAATTACATTGTGGAATATCAATGTGGTTAATAATGAAGGTAATATTTTTCCCATTGAAGTTTAACAGGAATTTATGCAGTTTACACCACTATTGCTAAAGTACATCCAGAGTGACGTTTGAGTTGTTTCCAAGCCAAAATTCAAATATATGCAAATGTTTTGTACCCCCCCCCCCCCAAAAAAAAAAGAATGTTGAGAAAAATGAACATAAAATCCTGGAAAGCATAAACTCCATTGAAAGCAAATCAAATGAATAAACAATGGAAACATGGACCACAATAATCTTGTGATTACCAGAAAAAAAAAGTGAAGAACAGAACAATAATACAACAGAACAATAATACAATAACAATAATACAATAACAATAATACAGAACAATAATACAGTAACACCAGTTGAATCCCACCCCTGCATCCATCCACCCATCCACCTACTCCCTTATGTCCTTTTTTACCCAGATGTTTTTGTTCTACAGAAACTAACTTTACATTTTAGACTGCTTTCAAATTAACTGAAGTTTGGCACTCTCAGAATTTTTGTTCTGACTTACTTTAGGGGTGATTGCTTTATACCTGTTTTATGTTTTGAAGCAGGCTTTTTTTTAACTGTGACTTTTTCCTTGTATACTATTCAGGGATTCTTTGAGCAGAACAGGAAAAAAAATCACCTTCTTCTTCATCAATCTTTTTACAGTATTAAGAGCAGAAAAAGAAATGTTAATGACTGTGCCTTTCACAATTAGAACACTACTACAAGGCAATATAAGGAAGGCCCTTGTATGATCATTAGATCCTGGCTCTATAATCAACTGGACCCTTTATAAAATCTTACGTCACTAAACTTGAACAAATGGTTAGCTTGCTTTTGCCTCTACTCTCCAATAATTCATTATTTATTTGAAGTGAAAAGATTCTTCAATAATTCAGCTGCCAGGATGCTGATTTAATGAGTAAGTTTGAATGCATGTATTTCAAAATCTATTAAATAGGAGATAATGATTACTTTAAAAAATTGCAAACAAGTCTTGGCATTGCTTCCCCAGAATAAAGGTTATTTACTTAATGCAATGTCATCAAGTCATACAGAAATAGCATCATATCTATTTAAGGATAAAGTGTTCCTATGCCGTTGGGCAACTGAATTTAAGTTTCAGAAAAGAAACTGATTGGAGGGGAGAGTTAAGGATTATTTAGCATGCCTAAGCTTTAAAAATGCATGGGTGTGTTGCTTTCCCACAGTTATGAGTTATATTATTGCCATTTTTAATTAAAAGGAGGAGGGGTCTGATCCATGTTTGATGCAAGAAAGTCCGAAGTAGAGCATAAATAGAGATGGTTGTCCTATCCTCTTTGTTTTGCCAAGATCTTTGATCTCTCCAGATAATTGGTTCCAGAGGGGGTATTCAGCAGGTTCTGACCAGTTCTGGAGAACCAGTAGCAGAAATTTTGAGTAGTTTGGAAAACCGGCAAATGCCACCTGACTGGCCCTGCCCCAAAATATTCTCTGCCTCCCAAGTCCCAGCTGATCAGCTGGGTCTTCTTTTGTTGCCTTGCACAGGAAAACAGAGCTGGAAGGCAGGTTAGTGGAGTGGGGTGGGAATGGGATTTTGCAGTATCCTTCCCCTGCCATGCCCACCAAGCCATGCTACACCCACCAAGCCCACAGAAACGGCAGTAAAAAAAAAAATGAATTCCACCACTGATTGGTTCTGTTACCGAGTTAGCCTTTTCCTTAAATTTCTTCTAAAGTCTAAATGAATTGTATGTTACTGTCTAACATACAATTACGAGGCGTAAACCCATTTATTGGAAACAAGGTCTTTGGTTTTATATATAGCAATTGATTCAACATTAATGAAAATTTATCTCATGTCTTTCATCGGTCTTGTTTTCTCCTGTGTCAATACACTAAATTCTTTTAATTTTTCATTGCAGGTTGTTTCCTGAGTAGTTCCTTTATGGAAATGCAATAATTTGTAACCAAAGCATAATATCCAAAATCATCCACAACATTCTGCAGTAGGTGTTCCCAAGTATTCCCAAGAATCCCCAGTATTCTGAGGACTTCGAAAGGATGGTTGTGCAGACTAAAACTACATTACTATGCAGTTCTATCACACTGTAATTCATAGCCAACAGGTCTCTAGGCTATTGATATAACCTTAAAGACTCCATCTCTTCCTTTGACATGGCCATTAATGAGC